GAGCCTTAGGGCAGCACCTTGCCAGATCTGCTGTATGGAAACTAGCCATTTCTGTTTTGCCACACAGGCCTGTAAATCATAATTATCTCCTTGATTTGTCCTATAGCTATACTTTAACCTCAGAAGCGTGTAAAATCTTCCTTTTTTTCTCTGTCTGCATTGCTAAACAATCTGGTACAACTTTTTATTAATTCATGTTGTAATTCATCAGCCATTTCAACTCTGCCTTTCTCACATAGAAAAAAGGCTACATTGGCCACCTAGTTTCTACTGAAAATGCTTATAGAATGTAGCCATGTAGAATGCCACATTTTTCTTTTTTCTTCACTCAACCAGATAAGCAGATTTTATGATAGCTGGATGATGCCTTTTTTGCAGAGTTAGACTAATACTCAGTACAGTGTGTTCTGCCATAGTACACTTTGATCAAAATGGCTGCAAATCTAGATTCTCACCTTTTTTTTTATTCATTGTCTTAGGTGACAGACACATGACATTCAATAGACAAAGGTTTGTCCATTGGAATTCCATCTGGCTTATGCATTTTCTTATTCCAAGTACCTGTATAATGTTTTATGCTTTTCATTAATATGCTTGTAATGCTATATGCATTACAAGCATATATTATGATTTTCATTACTTTCCCCATTCTATGTCATTGAGTTGTGTGCATGTGCAGAGAATCATGATAGGTATTACGATAAGATAGGAAGGTTATGATTATAATATGTTAGAAGTGTTGGCACTACAACTGTATAACACAGCCTTATGTAAAATTTCCCCATTTCTAGAAGATATAGTTATGGAAATTCACTTTTAAAATCAAGTTATAACGTAAATCTGATAATCTAAAACTTGTATAACATCTTGAACCAAAGATTATTTTTCCTCCTTGGTGACTGTAATATTGAAAATGAAAATACAATTCAATTCCTCTGTGGCAAGTGTTTCTGTCAAGTTTCAGTCATTTCTAAGGTGCAAAATAGTCTCATAGATTAGCTTACTTGATGGTTAAAGATTCTAAATATTCTGTTGGCCAGCATTTTTATGAGCTTTTGCAATTCACAGGGTATCTCTTATGATCATGTGGTGTTACAAACAAGAACTCCCCAAACTTACTCTCTACGTGTTCTGAAACAGTGAACAACCAATACAACTCATTCTGTATTTAGTAAATTAACACCAGAAAAGAAAAAAGGAGAAAAGTATAGCCAACTCCAACTTACTATAATAAACAAATATTTACTGGGCACTGTTCAGTGTCTTTCTTACTGTTCAGACATTTTCCTCTTTAATATTAGCAACTTACACTGCTACATTCAGACCTTTTGCTTTTTGAATGTGTTACTGCTTTTGTACCAAAAAAGTCACTATAGCTTTTTTCACAAGATTAAGCTGAGACCATCAACATGCTTTGTGACAGAGATAAAATTCAAGAACGAAAAATGCGTTATAAAGGGACTTTTCAAAAATAGGACTTGCCCTATTTTAAAATGTAGCATGTATTTCTCTTCATTAAATAATGATCATGTCTTCTCCAGCCATTGAGACAAACTTTGTTTCTATTTTTTCTTTTCTGATTTCTGTTCCTGAGCTATGAAATGTTAATATATGTTCTATCTGAAAGAAATGGCTTAATCCAGTATGGCAACTATGCTGTAATCTTTCTTTTGTGTAAGATACATGGTATGTACAGTGTAAGCAATGAGAAAAATTATCAGCAATAATTCCTTTAATATGTAAGTATTGTTAATATGTAAGTATATTCCTTTAATATGTAAGTACATATGGAATATGTAAAGCATAAACATAATGATAATCCTTGTCACACTTATTCTGCAAAACATGCAATCACACTTTGTGATGAAAATAGTCACTACAAACTCCTTTGTATTTTTTCTATATTTATACTTTTCCCCTACATTGAGACTTGTCTAGAATATTCTCTTGAAATATACTTTAGCAGATCTCGAATGCTTTAATAGCTGAGGCAGGGGAAATTTAGGCTTGACATCAGGAGGGGGTTCTTCACAGAGAGGGTGGTTGCACACTGGAACAGGCTCCCCAGGGAAGTGGTCACTGCACCGAGCCTGTCTGAATTTAAGAAGAGATTGGACTGTGCACTTAGTCACATGGTCTGAACTTTTGGGTAGACCTGTGCGGTGTCAAGAGTTGGACTTGATGATCCTTAAGGGTCCCTTCCAACTCAGGATATTCTATGATTCTATGATTCTATGATTTATGGGTAGGCATTCACATAAATTAAATGTATTCAAGTTGTTATTAATACACATTTGTTTTGATTCTGAATGCACAGACATACCCACTGAAAATAAAATGAATAGTCTAAAAAAAGGAAGCGAGACTGGAATTACATGTAATCTACCATGGTATAAGTGCACTGTTGCCAGAAAAATATACCTTCATTTTAGGCTTCAATTTGGCTAGTATCTCAAAACTTCATAAACAGAAGAAAGCAGAAAACTTGATGTACCTGGATGCACACTTACACTAAATAAAAAAGTTCCTTCGTTTCCTTTCAAATTTTCTTCATTTTATCTCTACAGTCATTTATTTATTGTATCTATCTAAGTTTGTTAGCTGTCTGCAATTCTGTCTTGCTTTTCTAAATGGTGTGCAAATTTTGTCCAGGAAAGAGACAATGATTCAACTATATCTTGCAGGCAGCTAATTCATTTTCATGGTAGGTTAAGTGCAGGACAGCTCAGTTAAAGTGTTTCCCTTACTTTACAAAAAAGCCTCATAGAAATCTAATTAGATTTCTACAGTTGTGTTACATTTAGCAGCCAAGTGGATTTTAGACAAAACAGGCTCTTGCAGCTGAGGTTGTCATTTTCCTAAAGGTGGTATCCTTTTTTCATGAAATTCAGATATTTTAAAGTTCCTGTTATGCAACCCAAAGTAGCTTGTTTTCAACATAAAATTTTAATTTTGGAATACATCTTTTGATTTAGTTTAACTATTATGAATTTTAAGCTAATATGTTTTTAATGATAGATTTGGTATGGCACACCATAATTAATGTTTTAATTTTCTGAGCTGTATTTACTACGAGAGAAATTAAAACCCAATACTAATATTAACATAACCCTATAAACAATGAAATCCGTATTTAGGTATCTACATTCTAATCTAATCTAATTTAGGTATTCTACAGTCTAATTCAGATCCATTTTATGCTTCTGCAGCTCATCCTGAAATTTGAAGAGTAAGATAATTGTAAAAGTATTTACATAATGATGTCAATACTTCAGTTTCAGAACCCAAGATTGAAAATATTGACTTATACTGTCAATTATTCCTCTTTAAAATTTCCTTTACAACAAAATAATTGGTTGAAGATAAACATTTTTATTTTTATTTTTTTAATTACAATCTGTAAAAATGCAAAACAAATAGTGAATCCAATTAATTAGCCAGTTAAGGAAGACAGCTGTCCATTCCTGTCATTCTAAGGTTTTTAGTTACCAATGTGCACAATGATTCTTAGCTTTCAAAATTTCTTGGACAGCAGTTCATCAACTGTTAATCTCATACTTCATAAAACAGGAACCTTTAAAGGTCATGACTTCACAGGACATTTTCAAATGATTAAGATAGTTTTCCCATCACTCTAATTTACTGAGGTTCTTCTTTTCAGTAGTACATTCAAAGCAATTTAGCATAATGAAAACAGCTCTTCTGCCATTCTAATTTACTTATTACACAAGGCTCCTCATTTCAGCAGCACATTGACTCAATGAATGACCCAGATTTTGAGTGTCAAGGACAATGCATTGTTCTTTTGACATTAATGAAACTTTACAAAAATAATTTGAAGTGAACTCTGAAAAAGAGTCTGTATAACCCAGAAAGTATCACTACTTTGAAAAAATATACTAACTGGCATTCTGCATTCTACTGATACTGATTTACATTTATGAATAGGACTAAGGGTATATATTAAAGGAACTGATGAAATATTAGTTACATTTTGATTTTTACGTTTTATTTAAATTGTTATTAAACAATAAGAAGTTCTCATCTCACCCCAGTAGGAAAGCACAGAACATAGTAGTTTACTTAGAAACAAAGATCTCTTGAATATTGTTTTAAGAAACTGAGTTTTGTTACGATTTCCAATATAGCATTAAAACATTTACAAGGGACTTTAAATCAATTTATCTGAAGGGAGAAATTGTATCCCACCATCAAGGTGCTAACTGCAGAAAAAAGAATGGATGTGTGATCTGGACTTTTTTTTTTTTAATCCATTCTTCTCCAAGGCATGACAATGTTAGCACTTTCTAGGTCTTTTCAAATGAATTGAGATATGGTAAACATGGTTCCCTTTTAGTGGAAGTGTTTTTTGTTTGTAAAAGATTTTTAGCTTCTTTAAGAAAATCAAGCAAATAATTGAAGGGTTTATATATATATTTTTTACTCTAACTAATAAAATCAGGAGTCTGTGGTGAGATCTAGCGGCAAGTAGTTTGATGTCCTCAGCAGGACACCAAAAGTCAGAAGTGGTGCTGTAAATCCAGTGTGGGGCTTCAACACAGTGCTAAGTGTGGCCTGAATCTCTGGGGCTTCCCTTTGATGCAAGTGCAGTATATTAACTGGAAAAGCATTCACTTTTATTTGTCTGTACTGTCTGCGACAGCAATATCGCCTCATTTAGGCTAGTTCAACATGAAAATGCACAGAGAAGCAATCTGTTACAAATTAGCACAGCTCCCCTTTCATTTTACTAGCTAGTAATTGGAAGGGGTTACAAAAGTGTAATTTATCAGATTATATGTGTTTATCTTTTTGTGGGGACAGCATGCCTTTGGTGAATTTTCCTACGCACCCTGAGGGAATAATCTTTCCTTGATGTCCATTAGATCTGAAAGAAAACAATGACGCCTGTGAAATATAGGAGTATAATTTGTTGGGTTTGAGAAGGAACAGTTTCCCAGACATCTAAAATGGTATTAATGACTTTATTAGAACCTTACCGCTCCTTGGAAATGCTTTTGCTCTCTCGTTTCCAAATGGTCTTGAAGTCACTGCAGAATTCGTACCACACCGTGAAAACATAGTTTGGTGTGATCTCCTTCTCACCAGGCTTTGGCTTTATCCCAAAGTATCCCACTGTTTCTTCAAAGCTATGATGGGGGGAAAAAGAAACTGTCAACACGTAAGACCACGGGGGAAACAGTTTCTCTGAGGACTGGTTCCTGATTCAGTAGTCAAGGCTGGTAATTACCGTAACTTCCCCTTAGCCTTGGAAATCATAGCAGCAATTCATGCTGAGTATAACTAACCTTCCAACACCTACCTCACTCTTAGGAGGTCAACTTACAGATGCATGAGCTATCATATAGACATGTCACATAGTCAAAACAATTTTAAACAGAAAAACTGGATTTAGTGTATTAAAGGAAATGCTATATTTTATCTATGTCTTTAATTTTGCAACGCTCCATAGAGAACTTATTTTGCCATTTATCTTTATTGAAGGACTACAGAAGAGTCATATGCCAAGTCAATTAAAAAATCTCCAGGTTAGGCTAGAAATAACGTTCAAGTAGTTAGGGAGAATTCTGAGTAGCAGCAAAAAAAGCCACTGTCCGTGCCAATACTCATTTTGCTAAACTCTTAGAGAAAATAAATCTCCTTCCAAGTGTGTAAATAAGCAGATAACAGCAATTATTTTTATGAAAATACATTGCCAATATTGTAATGCCCTTTTATTTTATAGTGTGGATACAGTATTGTTATGCAGCTGAATATTTTCAAAGTAGCCTTTTATAACAAAAGATACTTCTGATGGCATTTTAACTGCCTTTATGACATTGCTTTGTAAGATAAAATGAAGCAATTCACATTACTAGCGATACTATGTGGAGACTGATCTAAACAAAACAAAATAGTATGTTAATTTTTGTAAAGGTTGAACCACTTTTCTCTGCAAAGTGTATGTCACAAATCCTGTAAAATTTGGTGAAACTTACTAAAACTAATGCCATAATTTAAAAATAAAGGTAACAACATATTTCAAAATAATCCATTTTTCTTTAAAAAACAAACTTATTTAAACAAAGGAAAATTATATTCTTCTTTATAGCTGCCAATTGGTCCTAAATCTAAAATACAGGAAGTGTAAATATTGAACATAAAATAAATAAGAGGTATTTGAAAGATCTGTTAAGAGTCTCTCAACTATTAAACGGATGTCACTTGAACAACAGATGCAGCTTGAGGAAATACTTCTTTCTTAACTTCTACATGTATTTGCATAGTCCGTTGTATGTTTTTATATGGACTTGCCGAGGTCAGCATCAAGTATTAGCTGGGCTTGAAGAATACAAAGTAACTATCCAAAGACAGAGAAGATACCCCCCAAAAAGCAAACCAAAATTTACTCCAACTGCTTTACAAAGTAAGGAAGTTCAGACTTGAGATACGCTAGCCATATGCTCTGTTTTTTATTCTTTAAAGACACATACAGCTTCTAGGACATGTTGGAGAATATCCCGTATTGCTGGTAGTTTTTTAAATCCTTGTACATGATAACCTTTAATTTTCTCGCACAGGTTTTGCATGAGACATGAAAATATATTCAGTTAATTGCTGATCAACGGTAAAGGAATGACTGAAATGAGTACCAATAAGCCCATAATATTCCAAGTTGAAGGGTCCTGTAGTGAAACTACCAGGAGAAAGTAAATAAATAAATAAATAAGCTAATGCAGATTTCAATGTCTGTGTTAACCATTCTGGGATTTCAAACACTAAAAATACTAAAATGCCTTCATTGGTCATATGGTTAAAACAGTTCACCTCTACTGGACAGGGTGAAGGTGATTTTCATCTCCATTACACTCAGCTGGCAAAGTACTCCTCAGTTGTTCATACAACTTGACTAGGACAGCTGAGTGAGGGACAGTAGGACCAGAAACTTTCTTTGCAGGTTTGCTTCAGATAACAGCATCCCTATTAACATCATGATCTCTTCTTCCTTCCTAACTGAAACCTTCACTGTTCCAACTATACCTGTCCTGAATTCTGAATTCTTCTACACCCTCTCTTTCTTCCTCCTCCCCTCTCTGTGTTTCATCTTTGGATGTTCCCCAAGTAGCACCGTTTTGCTTTAATTTAGCTTGCTCTAGCTTCCTCTGCTGCTTTTTGACTTTTAGGAGCAACAGATCTTTTTATCAGTAACTTAAAATACTGAACATTCAGGTAGCATTTGTGAAACACAAACTCTTTATCAGACAACTAATTCCTTAAGTCAACTACAAATTAAGCATACTTTTGTACCCCTGAGTGTCTACTCTGCTTTAGAAAGGCTACAAAGCTAGAACATTAGAGCAACTGCACCAGAGAGGGAAAATTTGGAGGTAGGCAGAAAGTAAAGAGCCTCACCAGCTAATATTAGTCAACAGGTTCAGCCAACTTTCTGCCACCCTCTGCAGCAAATGGTAACAGTTCACCTAAGACTTGAATTGAGTTTGGGAGGTGCCTCTCTTCTGAATATCTAGGAAGATTGTCTCTCTTCTGATTGTCTAGATCACTCTTCTGATCTGGGTGTCTCAGTTAGGTCAAGTCACTCAGGGCTCAGAAATCTAACATAAAAATACAGACTGCAACAAATCTACCTTTAGACCATGAAGAATAAATATTCATTGAAGTTAAAAATCAATTTTATTGAACATATGACCATATACATTATGATGTAGAAAACTACTTTTTTCTAATATTCAGATGAAGAAACCTCATCTATTACTCTTTATCTGGATGCTCTTCAAAAAAAGCAAAAAAAATTGTTTTATAAGGTTTTCTTTAAACAGTCTTACAGCTGGTTTACATTTTATATGAATAGAGCAAAACAATCTCAAAATGTATGAGGATAGAAATTTTTCGTATGTGATAATGTGATATCTTTACAACTAAAAGTTTTAACAGCTAAAACTACCTTCATTGATATAAAGAGTTCCATAGCTAACACAAATAAGGTTAAAAGCAGATACTTCAATCTCAAAAAAAAAAAAGAAAAAAAAAGTGGTAATCAATATTTATTATAAATATTGTTTTATTAAACATTTTTTTAAATCTATTCAGAAATCAACTTATCTTACTTCTTCCCATATGTTGCCTCCAAAGGCCTAAGTAAGGAATAGATGTTCAGGCAACAAAAAACATTTAGATTTCATTGGCTTCTTAGTATACTGCATTCAATAGCTTAGGTGACAAAAAGGTTCTATGACACTGAAACACATTTTCAGTACATTAAGCAGTTAATCAGTTTTTACAATATTCTGTAAGATTCTGATTCAATTAAATGTTATGATTCAATGATTCAATTAAAATCTCAAACAGAAGACTGGGTAAAAATTCAACTGAACACTTTCCTGGAAGGCTACATAAGAAATGTTCAGAAAGTACATTAATTCTTTGAAGTTCAGATGCTTTTCTCTATTTACTCTGTTCCTAGATCAATAACATCTTTGACCAAAAATAAACTGTTAGAAAGCAGAAGCAAAAAACTTACTATTTTTGTGCATTTTCCAAACTGCTCTCTTCTTTTTTACGTTCTTCTTTAGCTGCCAATGAAAAACATTTCCAATACATAAATTACTCCCATAATGTTTTAGAGATCCTATGTATTTAACATTTCTTACATTCAAAATTGGATAGGTTGTACACTAAATATAACAAAAGTGGTAAAAAAATTACCAATTTTCAATTTTTATTTCTTGTACATAAATTTATGCTTTTTAATGTAGCAATAAGGTGTATTGGATTTTAAAAGTCATTTAAAATCTGATACTATAATATACAGAAATAGATATTTATCAAAATAAAACCCAAATAATTAGACTTGAGTTTCAGATTAAAAATAAATAAATTGCTGTATATTCATTTATTGCTGCAAAAACTTTCAGATTTAAATCCATTTTTGCAGTGCTAATAATTGAAAGTTGATGAACAGGTACTGAACATAGTTAACACCAAGTGTTCCATATAGCTATCACATTTTGTTCAGGAAGTTGGTAAATAAAAACACATGTACTAAGTTTTGAATGTATGGTATGTACATCATTTTTTGAAAAAGAAGCCAAGAGTTTGAAATACAGTCAGTGAATGTGAACCCCTCTGTTACAGAGTGCTGACATGAACTACTTAAAGGGATTCAATTTTCAAAGGATGGGCATTCTCTGCTTTTGAAAATGTTTCCTGAGCTGGATACTCAAGCAAAAGCATATTTTTTTACAAAAATGTTGATCAATTCTTCTTAATTCCATGTACAGTATAGTCAATTTAGCTGCAGCAGAATACTACAGATGTATACAAATTACTGAAGGGGTAAAGTTATTCCTATTCCATAACAGAAAAATTATTTATGTGAAATGTTAATACAAACAGAATTCAGACATGGTAATGATACCAAATGAAGAATTGTATCTTCAGGCTGCTCAGTCTATAGAAGTGCATACATTGGTTGAAATACAGTTACAAACTTTTTTTTTTTTTTCATACAAGGCCACTGATCCAATTTCATGACAGGGGTACCCTCACAGAGATCCATACTAAGCTAAAATCACTTAAAAAATGGTTTACTTCACAGCACTGCTGCACATGGACAAAACAAATTAAATTCTACATATATATTGAGTGAATGTGTTGTAGATACTTATTCAAGTATTTCATTATGGCAACAGTAGAAACAATGTTATGTGTCCTGTGTCAGGAAAACAATGAATTCTATACCATTATATTATCCACCTCAAATCTTGGTGGCAAGACAGCTATGACAGAAGTTCTCTTTTATGTGTTTGTTTCGGGCTCCTGAGAAATTCAACTCAAGTTAATCTACTATACTTAATTCATTATTTCCACAGCTCTCATATATTTTTTTTATCATTAAAAGTAGAAAACGTGAGAATTCTGATAGTTCATCCTGATACAAAATTAACTACAAAGATGATGAAAATCTGAACTATGTATAAAACTGTATGCTTTATGATTACACTGATAACTTCTTTCTGGTTGTTGAGGAGATCAAAAAACATTTAGTAAACCAAAATCCCCACATAGCTACATTCAGAGCTACAGCAGAAATCCAGTATCATCAGTTCAGTTCCCTGATACAACTGCACATAAGCAAGAACACAATGACAAGGATAGCATGATTATAGGCTTATATAACTATAGGTTATATATAGGTTATATAACTACAGGTGGTAAGAACCCACTTACTGGTTTTTTTAATCTCGTAAGAGCAGAGTAAGGGAAGACAGAGGAAAGACATTTTAATTTATTATAGAAATTGGAAAAAAGGTGTGACTTATAGGAAAGAACATGCAAAGTTTACATTAATATGACAGTGTGTTTGTTTGCATACCAATATAAGGGAAAAGAGGAAGCAAGAAAGTAACTGTATTATATGTATGACTGTTTTCCACACCTTTAGCTATAATCATGTCTACCCAATAACTACTTAAAAGCATTACTTTGAAATTAAGATTTCAGACAGTTTTGAAACACATGTTTTGGAGATGTGCACCTCAGATTAAATCTAACCCAAAGTTTGGATCTCTGTTGTATACATAGTGGCATTAGTCTCTGTTATTTCAAACCACAGATCCAATCCTACCGCACCAAATCACAATATAGATACAGATATACATTGCAAAATACAGATTTTTTAATCTGCAATTTTGTAATGTGTACAGATTACTCATAGGTCCTTCAAAATGACTTACCAGAAACTGTATTTGGTAAGGTGACACCCTTCTGTCTGCCCTTAGTCATTAGGCTCGACTACCTTTGAAAATGAAACTGCCAAATGTAGTTTGCTGTCTAGTCTCATCTCCAAATGCAGGTTCTTAATATACTCTTCTGTTTGAATTTGGTTAAGATACTGAATAAAGTCACAGACCCTATCTTATGACTAACAGACAATGTTAATGAATATGCTTTCTTCTAATACAGATATGAAAACCAGGATCAATGAAGAATTTTTATCTTTCTACAGACAAGAGTTCTGAAAGGATAACATCTACTGACAAAATATTCAGATCTAATATGCTGCTGGAATAATCTTTTGCAATACAAACAACTATAACAAAATTGGCCTTATTCATCCTGCTATCTGTATCTAGCTAACAGAATAAGAAAATAAATGGAGTACAATCTTATGAATTTGCCTTATGAACCTCAGATATTTCTAACAACTTCTTTTTACTGAAATACAGAAGTAAGCATTTGAAGAGTCATGATCCTGTAACAATTCTAAGAGTGAAGTGGTAAGGGGAAAAAAAACAACAAACAAACAAAATACAAACAAACTTTATTTATTAATGATACATATTCTGCTTGCTGAGGATAAAACAGCATGCCAAACGCTATCTTGAGAAATTATGAGAAAATATTTATTTTTAATGCTTCTAATAAGTGCACAGCAACTCCCAGCTACAACAGAACTAAGATCTTTTCATACATCTGGCTGCTAAGAAATAGTTCCCCAAAGAACAAAAGAAAGTAAATATTGGATAATGACACAGACTGAACACTGGAGAAGGCCAGTAAACAAAAGACAAAAGCAGAAGGATGAGACAGCTTGCTCCATGAGTGGAGGGCAAAGAAAGAAAAATGCATGGACACAACTGTGTAAAACTATGAGTTACACCTGGACTGCTAGTCAATATTTTTAACACCGGGTGGAAAAGTCTTCTGGCATTTCTCTCTGATACTAAGTATATGAATGCACGTAAGAAGAATAATTCAGAAATATCTACTGATTTAGTTGTGCCCATTACACTCACTACAGCTTTTTCATTTTTCAATATCTTATTATTTTCAGAATTAAAAGATCTTGTGCATAACCTTTTATAATTTTTACAAACATTCTGGAGAAATGAGAACCTTCAAAATTATGAGAATGACCAGAGAACGTGCAGTTATGGTATAGAAATCATAACTTAGTTTTTTATTTCAAGGCTGAGTTAAATATGCTTCATGTATATTTAGAGACTAGCAAATTATAGTTTTTTTGTTTGTTTGTTTTTTGGGGGGCGTGGAACTACCCTAAAACAAGGCTTTTTTTTTTTTTTTTTTTTTTTTTTTTTTTTGTTCCAAGTAAGGAAATGGGTCTTTTCTGACTTTTCCAACCAACCACACTTACATTAAAACAGAATCTGGGATAAGACATAGTCACAGAAAACAAGCAAAACCAAACAAACAACACAAAAAGAAACAACCCTAAACATGCAAAACCAAACCAAATCCCCTAATGATATTCCTCTCTGAACTTTATAGAGCTTGGACAGTGAGACAAAAGACAGGACATTTCCTAAGCATACAAGAACTCACATTCACCATTAGTCAAGACTAAAACTCTTAAGCAGTTATGCCAAAAGAGAGCCAAAAGAAGCCCACACATAATTTGTGAAGATAGGAATGTATTAACCCTTTAAACAAGGGTTGAATAAGAAAGGTGTATACCCAGAGAAGCTCGGATGGGGTTATCTTTCCAATGTGCTAAATGTCACATTCTGTGGCATTACAGAAGTAAGGAGAACAAGCAACAATTGTTCTAATTTTCTTTTTAAAGCATGAAGACATGCCACCATTTGATAACAGATCCAAATCTCTTCGAAATTATGCATTGCAGGTATACTTGGATATCAGATGTTGAGGTCAGAAGACTCTATAGTTAGAAGTACGCTATATATGTCTCCATGCTCAAGTACAATCATCATACAGTCATCTGAGCCATCCCTGAAAGTGTTTAAGGCCAGGCTGGATGGGGTGTTGAGCAATCTATCTAGTGGGAGGTGTCCCTGCCCATGGCAGGGAGGTTGGAATTAGATGGTCTTTAAGGTCCCTTCAAACCCTAACTATTCTATGATTCTATGATAAAAGAGAAACATCTTCACAAATGTATTTAATCAAGGACTGTGCAGGGTGAGAAAAAAGGTCAAAGAAGGCCTTCTAGATAGATACACAGACTAGAGAGGATCATTAAAAAATACACGTTCTGCTTTCATACAAAATTCTAGACAGGTTTAAAATCCTAGACACTACAGTAATATAAAGAACAGCAGGTTCTACAGCAGGATGGATTTAGTCTCCCTTGTTTTTGCTTTCAGTAGAACTGTTACCAGTGAAACCTTCAAAACAAATTTCATTTTTAAGCAACCCTTTATTCAAGACACACACTAGGTGTGAAGTCTGGGGAAAAAGACCTTTCTCTTCTCTTTTAACAGCACTACCAGAAAGCACTCTTTTCTCCAAAAGAGTGTGTATAAGTGTGTATATATGTATATATATATTAGTATAGCCAAAGCATTCAGTCACTTGATTTATCATGTTAATCTGTAGTTTTCAATGCAGTATGAGATTTTATTGATTAGATGACGCTATCAGAACCACATGCATGTTGCTAACAACTCATGCACAACATCCATTCAATGCTTTTATTATTAGTGTTACCTTACTGGCTAGAAAAAGAAAGGGTGCTGCATAAAAAGGCAATCATTAAAATACATTGCAAACTATCTAAGTGAACGACCTGCATGCTGTAACACATGAAAATACA